CCTATGAGTTTTTTTCTTAAAAAAAAACAATTAGTGTCAAATACATTTAATGCAGATGGAGACATAAAGATAAAAGAGAAGGGACAAGTTAAAAGATTACCCTTTTCTATTACACTCCCCACAGTACTATGGGATTTAGGAGACAGAGACAATCACTTGAAAACTACTAGTATTATTTCAAGTTTCAACTAAACATCAAGTTACAGAGATTATTTGCCTCCTAAAATTACACATTTACACATCTTATTATTTCAAATTTTCTGCAGCACAAGCATATACACAACTTATATTTTGCTGCATAAAAAAGGAAATCTATTGACATGCATACTAATTTTACAGCTAAACCACCGAGAAACAGTAATATACTGATTTTAAATAACATGCAATATAATTTCAAATAGAAATATGATGGATAGAGATGTAAAATGCAGAACATGCAATATAATTTCAAATAGAAATATGATGGATAGAGATGTAAAATACAGATACATTTCATTTTCAGTGGTAAAAATTGAAGCTTTAAAATAGAAACATAGATCAACAAATGACAAAGAAATACAGACAGCAAAGAAAGAAGAAACAACAGGACACGTATACACGCACCTCAACTGGTTGGGAATGTTCTTGATCATCAAAGTTGTGTTTCGCAACTCGCCGCCGGAAAGCTGGCGGCCGGCCTCCGCCGCCACCCTCGTCACCCACTCCTTTCTGCACGGGTTCGGCGGTGGCGGAGGAGGAGGCGGCCTGGCCGCAGCAAGTCGATTCCTCGGCCTGAAAAAACGAGGGGGGCATCCCCTGCCCCATCCCCTGAAGTCAGCCTCTCCGACCGGAGGGCTTTCTTGTCCTTTCACCGCATTTTCCGTGAAGAACGCCGACTTCAAATCTGCTCCGGCGGCCGCCTTGGGGAGGTCGACCCCGAGAACCGGGCCGTAGGAGACCCAGTAGACCGGCCGGCTCTGCGCGAAAACAGGGGAGTTCGGGTAGAAGAACAACGGCGGCGGTGGCGGCGGCGGAGGAGGAGGAGTAGAGAGAAGAAGGAACGGCGGCGGTTTTGGAGGTGGGGCCCACGGGTGGGCTCTGGGATTGAGGGGCTTGGAGAGGAGCTTGATGCACATAGCCGATACGATACTCTGTCTGTGTGTTTGTGTGTGTGAAACTGAAAGCTGAGAGTGATGATGATATATTGTTGTTAAAAATTTTGAGATAAAAAATCAAAATTGTACTTAATCCTTTTTTTTTATTTTTTTTATTTTGTTTTATGGGTTGTGGTTAAATGCAGGGGAGGAGATAGAAAGGTTTGGCGGCGAGCGCCATTGCATGTAAGTTTGCAGCCTTTTGGAGGTTCCTATATTAATTGTCAGATAGATACACAGGCAAATCTAATAGATGGATTTTTAAAATGCTGCGTTTCCCAAAAATGGAACTTGTTTGATGTCTTACAACTTACAAGACATGATTGACACATAGCTTATCTTATTATGTGGAATTAGTTTTTTAATTGGTGGTGTTTATTACTATCTTATATTTTTTTAAATATTATTTTAGTTTTATCAACAATTAACTAAATAAATGACGTTTTGAATTTTTTATACATATTTTTTCATTATTATATTCATCTATTTAATAAATACACTACGTCTTTTCATATTTACTCTTCATTTTTTCTCGAAATATTTATATCTATCTTCATTAATGAGGATTATTATTAAAAAAAAATCTTAATTATTGTGAAACTTCTCAAAACGACATTTATTAAAAATAGTAAGGAGTACTAATTTTTTAAATCTTCAATTGAAATTCTCAACTTTTTTTTAAAAAAAAATACAATGATCTCAATTTTCCGACGAATTAGAGTAGTTATGTAATTTCGCGGAAGTTTCATGTATAGTACGTTAGCTATATAACGGTTAAAATTTTTTATTGACGATCTATGAATGTTAATTGAATTGTACAAGAAATGATTTTAATGACGATTTTAATGTGTTGTATTGTGTTGTCGATGTTAGACTACTTCTTATTTATCAATGTCATGTATTCAACATAATTAGTTGATTGATTCGATTGTTTTAACTATTTTTCAATTTATAATATTAGTGTTTTAATACAAGACTATCGCTTCAAGAAAATAAAACAATGTTTATATTATTGTATAAAACTCAAGGTATGTTGGATAAATTATTTTAAAAATAATATATAATTTGTTAAAATTCTGATAAATTATTTGTTAAACGACAGTTACCAATTTACCATTCATTTTTAATGATTTTGGATAAAAATTACTATTTTTTAAAACATTAATTACAAAGTTGATCGATTAAGTTGGAGCTCGGATATAAAAAACGAAAAGTATGTAAACTTGGCCTAGTTTTACAAAGTTGATCAAGTAAGCATACAGTTTTACTACATGTACGTGGTATGTGAGTGAAGAATGGTAATTTTTTCATCAGATTGTATAATATATAGAAACCAATTATATTAGTGTAAAAGATGCTTTTCATGACTAATTATTAATGAGCTCCGATTAATTTTCTTCACTATTTTGTTATATTTAACATGGATGTTACATTGAAATCAACTATTGTTTTGTCATTTTGAAAATTATGACAGTGGATTTATTCAGCTTTGACATATAATAATTGATATGAACTCTGATACATTCACAAATCTATGAATAAATATGAACTATGTTTTTGGGCATTGGTCAGCGCGTTGACCGTTTCCCTTATGAGCTTCGCATTCTGTACGAGCCAAAAAGAAAAAGGAACATAGAATATGGCTACAATTGTGTAAGCATTAATCATAACTCAGTAAAAATTATTACCACAGGTTTAATAGCTTAAATTTAAATTTTCTTTCGAATCATTTTTTCTTTTTATTCTATTTTTTTTTTTAACATGTGCAACCATTAATTCATTAACTTTAATATTTCGGCATATATTCAGAAAAGCATCTAAGATTTTTCATATTTTTTCAGAAAATTATACTTTTTTAATCGAACAAATGTAAGATGAAAGGTTGAGAAAAGGTTGATTTTAAAAAGTATAGGATAAATTTAAGATGTTGAATGAATATGGGATAAAAAAGATAATCGCTAAGGGTGTGATTGTTTATGGATTTAATTAGTTTTTATTTGATTTTTTTTTCAACTATAGTTAATTTTAAAAAAAAGTGATATGGTTAATTGTTAGTAGATAAATTAAATAATATTTAAATAAAATATTAAAGTTGATTTGATGTAAAGTAAGAAAAAAATGATTGGAAGTAATGGTTAGTTAAAATTATGTGAGTGGATAAATAACGAATTAAAGTTGATGTAATGTGTAAGAATAATTGTTTAATATTATTTAATTATATTGATAATATTTGAAATAGTGAGATTGAGTTAAAGTTGAGTTAAATTTGAATTTTGATTATTTTTTTTAATGTTCAAACCATATCCAATAACCCCTAAAGTTGATTATTGTACTCTAAAAATATATATTAATGATAAATTTTTATNAAAAAAAAAAAAAAAAAGTAAAACAAATATTTAAGCAACTGTAGATTATAATGATGACAATTTTCTTTTGGCCATGATTGCAAGCGAAACGACTATTCCCATGCATGGGCTTGATTTGAGGTAAGTTTTGATTTCAAACTAAATAATTTTAATAAATAAAGAAGCAGGTGAGCACAGGTATTTGTCATGCATGCACACAAATTGAAGACAATCATAGCAAAAAAAGTTGATTTTATGGTGAAATACGAAATATTTGTTTTGTTTGAAGGTCCTCATGATTTTGGATATCTTTTCTTGGGGCTTGTATTGAAATCTCTAAATCGGCAATGATTTTGATTTGAAACCACGAATAAGGTTTATTATATTTTATATATTGATTTGTGGGGATGTGTAAATTGTCAGTAGTCTTTTCTCAATTTTTGTTCTCATTTATTATTCTATCGTCTTTCTATACCGCTTCCTTTGAATAATTTTGTCTCTGTTATT